CATCCCATCAATCATGGCATGTTTCCTTGTTGAATGAGATAATTCTTTGGATTAGGATGATTTTATTAGGTGTCAATTGTAACACCTGAGGTGAAGGAGGACAGTGGTTACATGTAACACCCGTGGGCGAGGAAGTGGTTGTCGGTGTCATGAGTCGTGACAATGAGACACTCCTAGCAGCTTCTAGGGAAAACCGAATTCACATCCGAATGAGAGGGATCCTGAGGCTATGCAGGTATGGGACTGCATGGTTGAATAAAGGCTTATAAGGATTAATTGGTACTACCTATACCAACAAGATGCATCTTCTTTTCGGTAGCCTGTTCATAAGAACTCCACAGTTAAACGTGATTGACTTGGAGCGTGTGATTGAGGATAAAGCATGCTGAAAAGACCCGTGTTGGTTTGTGGGGTCAGTCGGTAATCCTAAAAAGCAATATGGGGCGTTACATCAATTGCATTGGCGCATGCTTTTCGCTGTCCATGGAGAATAAAAATATCACATTACTGTCAATATGATTGGCGGTTGTGTTAAAAAAAGATAGAGAGGGGTAATGGTTTAAGGTAACTCCGACATATAAAAAAAGTTTGAAATGATTGTATATTGGGAATTAAAAGGGAAAGCAATGTATATTAGGAATAAGGGGGAAAATATGTGGTAGTTTTGGAAAAATCTGTAAGTCAAAAAAAGGGAGAAAAAATTTGGTATATGATATGGAATACATATCACTCCATTTTGTTTTTGCTCAATATGATTTTAACTAATCCAAAGAATGAAATTTTTTTTTATTTCATCTCATACCAATCTATTCAATTTATCTAAACAAAGTTTATATCCTAATATGTGCTACTTAAATTTTCTCGACAACATTAAACCAAAAGAAAACCTTTTCATACACCAAAACAAAGAATAACGTCATATACTTAATTATTGGAATACTTCTTAACAAATCAGAGTGGCGCAATGGAAGCGTGGTAGGCCCATAACCCACAGGTCCCTGGATCGAAACCATAAAAATCAATTTTACTTTAGATTTTCTCTTTTTTATTTGATTGCAAACATCTTTTTTTCAAAAATTCTGCTTCCTTGATATTTTCTTAATTTCATCGCCCTTTATCGTGTCGAAATAGAATTAATTATATATATTTTTTACTAAATCACTCGTAGAACATTTATTGTAAAATGAGAAAGGGTTAAATATTAGAAAGAAAATATATCATGATGTGTTCTATATAAGGACAAAAATATGCACAACGGAAGGGAGAGACATTTTAGCCTTAATTTTGGTGGCTCCAACAAACCCTATATGTCATTTTTAGTCTTTCATCATACTTCATCGTTACCATATTCATACTTTGATTGAGCAACTTCAAATACCAACAAAGGAACATAGAGGACCCAAGTCCATCGTCACAATGTTTTGGGTAGATGATGTTGCAATGCCTCGATACCTCAATGGTCATCGTCAATAATCACAATTCCATTCACATAAGCCATAAAAAAAATATTTTAAGGACGAGCACTCAAGAATTATTGAGCGATCTTATTCATAAAAGATCATCCCAGGATGATGTAGACCTCTGCTGAATTGACGAAACCATGCCCGACGTGACTGTTCCATGCCCTATAAGGACGCTTCCAACTTGCATACCAACCTATGCCCCCTGAGAAACAAACCTAAAAGATTACTCCTTATAAATCTATTCTTCAAAGTTATAGTGCAAAAAATCCTTCTTGATATCAAACTGAAATAAGGGTCACTATTACATGGTAGCCATGGTTCTAAGAGGCTAGCAAATTTCATTTTTGCAATAGGTGAAAAGGTATCATTACAATTCTGACCATAGATCTAGGTTTAACATCCTGCAACTAATCAAACCTTTAATTGATCAACATGTTTGTTAGGTTCTAATTTGACATTTAACACCTGTCTAGAATCAAAAATAAAATTTTCAAGAAAATGTGGAAGAAACTCTAAAGTATGTTTAGATTTTAAAGCCATCATCCCATCAATCATGGCATATTTCCTTATTGAGTGAGATAATTCTTTGGATTAGGATGATTTTATTAGATGTCAATTGCATTGGCGCATGCTTTTCACTGCCCATGGAGAATAAAAATATCACATGACTGTCAATAAGATTGACGGTTGTGTTAAAAAAAGACAGAGAGGGGTAATGGTTTAAGGTAACTCCGACATATAAAAAAAGTTGGAAATGATTGTATATTGAGAATTAAAATGGAAATCAATGTATATTGGGAATAAGGGGGAAAATATGTGGTAGTTTTGGAAAAATCTGTAAGTCAAAAAAAGGGAGAAAAAATTTGGTAAATGATAGGGAATACATATCACTCCATTTTGCTTTTGCTCAATATGATTTTAACTAATCCAAATAATGAAATTATATTTTATTTCATCTCATACCACTCTATTCAATCAATCTAAACAAAGTTTATATCCTAATATGTGATACTTAAATTTTCTTGACAACATTAACTGATTTATTCATATATGTTTGACAAAATTTGATTCAGATTTGATGTTGACTTATATTTTATATCACTCCAAATACTAACTATTTTTTAAAAGAATTCAAAACAAATTGCTTTTTTAATAGATTAAAAAAATTAATTTTGTATTATAAATAAAATAAACGTTTAATGTTGATGCACAGACGTTCTACACCGTCATCCAATGAAAATATATTACTTTGTCATATCATACCAGTATTTTAAAATTTACATTGTAATTTGACAGAATACATTATCGTCATTGATTGACAATGTATAATTAATTTATAGTGTCAGTGCATCATTTATTTTCTTATAAAATAATATAAATTAGATTCTAACTTACACAAGCATATATTTTAAAAAAGTTATATATGATTTTTATGATAAAACTGTTTATTTTAATTATTAAAGAAAATTATTAACAAACGATAACTTTTAAGAGATAAAATAATTATTCTAAGAAAAACCTTAACAAACTGCTTATGTCACACACACACAGACACAGAATGAAAATCATAGGATTCTTATCTCAAGCAAAGCATGGTTGTTGTTGCTGCTGCTGCTATTCCTCTTCCCTCATTCTTGTTCTCCTCATCACACACTTTCAATTTTCGATTACTCAAAGTTAAAGCTAATGCCACACTTATCACAAACTCCGATTGGTTTCAAGTGGGTAGACCCATTGGGAACTATGGTTTCATGAACGTCACTACTAACACTGATCAATATTCATTTGGAGAAGGAGGAGGATTCAAAAGTCAAGATGTTGAAGAAGGTAGCGTCAAAATCAGGTACTTTTCACCTTTAGGGATTCATTTTTGGATAATTAATTAATACTCATCGTGGCACCTCCATTCCAGGCTTTATGAAGGCAGGGTTTCTCGAGGTCCGCTTACACAAACACCCGTTCTCTTTAAGGTTTATCCCGGAACACGAGCTGGTGGAGTTGTGGCAGATATGATGGCGGCGAACGAGTTGAATTCCCACATGTTCCTTCAAGTCAGATACTTTAACCATTCCATATTACTTCACAGTCTGTGTTATCACTTTCTCATTTCTTTCTAATTCTTACAGAGCAGTTCTAAAGGTATGAGTCAGCATCTTATGTTACTTTTAGGTGGCTTTGAAACAACTACGGGAGAGCAGGTTCGTCCTATCAATTCCAGATTAAGTTAATGTAGCATAACTACTTTTTTTTTGTCCTCCAATTCTGTTAATGATGTTGGATCCAGTGGCTTGCTTTTCGTGATTACGGGAAATCTAGCGCAGCAGACTATGCAAAAGTTGCGAGTGAGAAGGTATCAAAACTGTCTTCATGGAATAGCTTTGAACGAGGACAGGCAATGAAAAGAAGACGGCGTTTCATTGTAATACTCCTTCGGGGTGCTTTGAGAGGTTTAGCTTACATGCATGATCATGACAGATTGCACCAGAGTCTTGGACCATTTTCTGTATCTCTCAAGTATGTCGCTTGCACGCATTTAGCTTTGTTTTATGTTTTCCATTTGGATTATATTTCCTTCTCACTCTACCATTAACGTGCTTAATTTTAATATGATGGCAGCACAATTTCTGAAACAGACGCTCCCTATTTGATTCCAAGGCTTAAGGATTTAGCTTTTTCTGTTAGTGTTAGGTAAGGTAATGACTTGCCAATCCATGTTTTGACTGTGGATAGCCTATCCATGTTTTGCCTCAATGATTGGTTGCTCATTAGAGCATTGCAACTTCAATGTGATTTGTCAAAAACAATTCACACGTTTTCATGCCATATAGCGGTGCTCTTATTTAAGTCATTTCAGGTACTCAGAACTAAAGGATTCCGGACCACTTACGGAAGGTCTTTGGGCACGAGCTTCAGCAGCTAGTGCATTCACTTATTTAGAGAAAAGAGCTTTTGGAATAGCCGATGACATGTGAGTCGTCTGAACTTGGGTTAACGCAGAAGTTTGCTTCAGAGTCTTTTTCGGTCACCTCTGACTTTTATCAATTACAATGCAGATATGAGGCAGGCCTTCTTTTTGCATACTTGGCTTTTGTTCCGTTTTGTGAAGCTGGTGTAATGGATGGCCTTTCTTTGCAAGTAAGCCATGCTGCTAATCAGACTTTGTCTTCAGTACCTCGTTATTTTTCTGTTAATTTTCTGTTAATTTTCTTTATTATAAGATAATATCCTCACTGAATTACTTATTCGCCATGAAATTCAGAGGCTTTTAGAGAATACTTTTCGGCTTGATCTTGAAGCAATGTGAGAGTAAGATATCTTTTAGTCTATATTTCTGGTTTAACTATTACAGGGAGTAGACATCTGTTATTTTAAATCTAGTTTTCAATGGTTGAGCTATACTTTACAAGGTTGAGTGGATTCAACAGTTCCACTGTCTTGTTGCAAGTTGCAACCACTCCAAAATTAAAAAAGGAAGTATATTTTTGAACAACTTAAAATTTGCATTTTATCTAGCATGTGTAAACTCTGAAGAAGCAAATGCCTAGTGAAGTTGGATATTTGTACTTAATTATTTTGTCATTGATTTTGTCTCACTCTTCGTTACGTAGATACTGTATAGCAGATGACAGGTTAGTTAATGCCATCGAATTCCTGGATCTTGGCAATGGTGCTGGTTGGGAGCTGCTTCAGGTATATAAAACATGTTTGCTAGAATGGGAAACTATCAGTTTATGACTTTGAGTGACTGTTTGTTAAACAAAAGTGTCTAACAAATAGCTTATCTTCACAAAAGCTCTAAAATACCAGTAGTTTATAGAAACAACATATGCGGAGTTTGCCATTGTTCTGTCTTCCATTGTAGATGTGATTTATGTATAAACACTTGTATGTGATGCATTTTCTACTTGCATGTTTTGGTTCATCGAAAATATGTTTTATTGCTACACCAAATTCAAGTGTCAATTTCCAATTCAGTAGCTATATCAAATGTTCATGGTTGTTCTCATGATTTCCAGGCAATGCTCAATGCTGACTTCCGAAAGAGACCAACTGCGGAGGCTGTTCTCAGTCACAGGTTTATGACTGGGGAAGTCCTTTGAGTTTCAAGATCAAAAGAATATGGTTATCGTTGTGAAATATATCTACCACATGGCTCACCAAGCCTGTAAAATTCCTTTTTTTTTGGAATACGAATGTATTGAATTTGCATTGCTTGCTCACAAGCAGCAATGCTATTGTACATATATATTATGTTCTCACAAGCATGCGTTTACGAGAGATTCAAAGAAGAAATCTGGTTAAGGAACAAAAGTGATAAAGATGAAATGTCCAAATAATTAGTGGTTAAGGAACAAAAGGATATGATTAACATTGAAGGAAGGAATGAAAAAGATACTGTAGATTGGATGAAGTTAGTTTACAAGAAGTTGGTGAAAAAAATGAATTTTTTTTTGTTATAACTTAAGGGGGTTAGAGGATGCAACAAAAAAAATAAAAAATAGATTATTGTTATGAAAAGAAAAATAGTTGATTATATGTATTCAAGAAACTAAAATGAAGGTAGTGGATCAATTGTTTGTGAGGTGTTGTGAGGTGTTGTAGGGTTCAAATGAGGTGATTCTCTTTCAAAGCCTATTATCTTAATAATATGGGATAATAATGAATCTTTTTATAATTAAGTTCATGTTGCTAATGTGGGAAAATATCTTCGACTTTAAACCATATAAGAGTTTTTGTTGAGATTTTCACAAACAACTTGGACTTTTATCACAAAATTAGTACATAACCTCCTCACATCAGTCTTTTACTCAAGTCATCTTGCAACCTTTATATTACATATAATGTCACACAATAACTAAGTTATTGATTTTCAATTGCAACATAATTTAATTTAAGCAACAAAATTATACAATTCTCACTTTTAAGTCTTTATATTACATATAATGTCACACAATAACTAAGTTATTAATTTTCAATTACAACATAATTTAATTTAAGCAACAAAATTATACGATTCTCATTTTTAAGTCTTTTACTCTCTCAATACTAAATCAACAAATATGTATAAAATTAATTTCTAAGAAGAGAGTGAGTAGGAGAGAAGAATATAAAATCAAATTTTCATGCTTATAAGAGTGCATAAGGACTCTCTTATATAAGAGGAAAAAATTGATCAAGAAAAGAAACAATTTATGGGCCAATACCGCTTTATAATTGATTAATATTCGGCTCTAATTGATTAGACCTATCAAATTTGAAAACAAACTAGTCAGATTTAGAGCATAATCGATTAAGAAGGTTCATAATTGATTAGATGACGAGCTCGCTCCTAAATTGATTAGATAGAAGTTCTAATAAATTTGCTAGCGAGATTTCACTTTTCTATTTTGTTAGGGTGCTTCCTAATCGATTAATTAGTGGTCATAATTGATTTTAAGAAAGATTTTGAAATAGATAAAATTTGCAAAACCATTGAATGTGTTTGTGTATTGCTTTAGTACTTTGAAAGTTAATTACATTTATTTACACATTATTGATCATAAATAGATAAAATTACAATCACACGCACGATCAAACGATCTTTCAAAGAATTCAGTTTCTTTTGATGTTGATCTTTCTATTTGAATATCTTTGCTTTTAACACCAAAGATTTGTTACCTTCGTTTTTCAATAACTTCAATATTTTTCTACTTTGATGATGCTCATGATTATTTTAGCTTTGTTCTTTGCCAACATCAAAACCACAGACAATAATATTATAACCTACACAACACATAGAACCATATTTTCCCCCTTTATGATGCTGACAACATGTCTCTAAATGAGATGGTAAAACAAAGATATTAAGATGAAAAAGGTCGAGTGGTTAACTCTCCCTCACATATAAAGAGTGTATAATCTATTTATCATGAGAATATATTTCTCTCCTTTGGCATTATCAAAATCTGAAGAAAAAAAGAAGAAAACGTGCAAACAACACATAAAATAAATATTTCACATTTAGATAAAGTGGAGAAAAAGGAAATAGACTTCATATATTAAAAGAGTTAATAATAATAATAATAATAATAATAATAATAATAATAATAATAATAATAATAATAATAATAATAATAATAATAATAATAATAATAATAATAATAATAATAATAATAATAAAGAGCTAGCAAAATAGTAGAAAGCAAACAGATAAAGCATACAAGAAAAAATAAGACATTTATTGGTTGTTGTCATCATCATGCGAAAGCCTAAGAGGAACTAGTACTTCAGTGTTTTCTAAGTGTTCAAAGATGAAGCTTACTTTGGCAGAAATCCAATGAAGCATCCTATTGTTATCTTGAGTGCTTGCAAGGATGGCGTTGAGAAGAACTTATGTTTTAGGAGTTAGAGTCATTTCGTAGCCAAACTCTTTTAGATTTTTCAACTCTGGTTGTTAGGGGCCCGAGGTGCATCCCCAACAAGTGTATTGTACATCCAGACCTTGTCTCTATTAGTGATCTTCATCGACTTTAGAGCAGTCTTCCTAATCATTAAAGAGCTTGGATCAAACTATTCCCCCTCTAGACTAACTCTAACATGACTCATAATCTTTATGATCAAGTCCCCATATGGAGAGCAAGTAGGTGCACTACTTCTACAATACAACACATGTTAAATTACTCCACTTGCCTAGTTAGTCTTGATGTTATTTTCCAAAAGCCAAGTAGTTATAACATTGGTGTACTGGTTAAAAAGTACAAGGTGCATGTTACCTCTGCAAGAGCAGGAGTATTGAGAGGCCTTAATAAGTATATTTTAGTGTATAATGGTTAAGGCTTGCCTACGGTGATGAAAAGCCATGTATCATTGTGTTTACGGTGGTTTAAAGGACTTGCTCACGTGAGGTGAGAGGCCTTGTGTATTTATTTGGTTTTTATGTATAAGCATACAAATTAGGATATGTCATTTCTTTCGTTAAGGGAGAGGAATTTATATAGGTCTCTTGGGCCTAGGGTTTAGGAAACTCTTAGGGGCAGCAACTGCTCCCCCATGATTATGGGAGATTGTTGTCTACCTATTTCTCAAGAATTCGTAGTGTGATTCTCTCTCACATAACTAATGAGATATAATGGTTTTGTACACATCATCTGTCCCAATGGGAACCTCTATGTTTTACATGGATACTTCTTGGGCGACATCACTCTAAGCAGGGATCCATGAGTCACCTTTGCTTGGGACCCTCACAAATACAACACTACACGGCCCCTAAAGCGTGAACGCTTTGTAAAGGTCAAAGTGTTTTCGAGGCTTCTTTCGTTGGTGAGGTACCTCATCTCGGGGATGAGTCCCTCGACTGAAGTCGACCTCTTTAATGCGAGACAAGTCCCTCAGCTTAGGGCGAGTCCCTCAACTAAAGGAGACCTTTTTAAGGCGAGGTGAGTCCCTCAATTGAAGGTGATATCTTCTATTTGCGTGAGTTACTAATTGAGAGATGAGTCGTCTTATCCTACCAGATGTCTTCTGATTAACTAAAAATGTCAGCTAGAAATGTCAATTTATCATTCAAATGATCACACTTACTTCTATTTATTAAAAGTAATGATAACCTGTTTTTTGAGACCTTAAACGCCAGTGGCATGTGTCAAAAACATGCAAAGTTTTTCAAAATTGTGAAGGAGTCTAAAGGGTCCCTTATGGTTCCAACTCCTCTATAAAAGCTTTCTCATTCCACCTTATTTACTTTATTTTGCTCCCTACTTCTGCAAGCTCATCTAAACACCAAACTCCTCATCATTCAAGATTCTTCGTTCACAACCTTCTTTCAAATATGAATTTTCCTTTATCCGTTTTTTTTATATTGAGTAGAGTTTATGAAGAAACATTCGAAATAGGACTTAGGTTAGCATAAGGCCATAGGTTTTGAGGGTAATAGTTGCCCCATTTGACGATTGCGACAGTGGTGGTGATTTCTTTTTTGTCTTATTGTTTCTCCAAGAACAAATAGATAATGGCTACCTCATTCGTCATGTCCAAGGACGTCGAAGATATTGAACCTTATTATACTAGTGAAGAACATATTCTCCATTTTCGATCAGAAGTGGAGGTTTCCTCTTTAGAAGGTGAAGACAAGGTTATTTTGCAAATTGTTCAATCTCGAAGAGGGTGGCCATGCCCGTCTCCACCGATCCAACTTCTCATTACTTTTACTTCTACCTCCCTTTTATCAAGGACATGTAAGTTCTTTCCCCCCCCCCCCCCCCCCCTTTCCCCTTTTTCCATGGATGTTTTAAGGGTTCTCAATGTTGCGCCCTGTCAGGTGTCGTTGGGGTTTTATCAGGGTCTTCGAGATGGTTTGTGAGGACCTGGAAGTTACTCCCATAGCAGGAGTCTTTTTATATTTTTACATTACTAGAACGAAGAAGGGTAGGTGATGCCTTTAGATGGTTTGCCATGGAAGACCTTTTTTACGTCTCACTCCAATCACTACAAATACTGGAAGGAGAAGTTCACCTGTATGAAGGGGAAAGAGCACAAGTTTGCAGCTGAGATTTGTATACAACATTTTAATCAACCTTGGGTACACCTCTTATAGTTTATTACATATGAACTCTTTTATATTGACTTTGTTAAAGACATCAAAGAATTCAAAATTTATAAAAAAGTCTCTCATTAACAAAGTGTGGTTTGAGAAATGATCAGTTGAAGAAATGCTTGTTGAAATAGTCTTCTTGAATTGATGAAAAAAATCATCAGACTCATAGTTTGTTGAGGATATGCTTGGAGAAGTTCAGATTCCTTTTAGAGCCATATGATTATGATGTGATAGTAAAACAAATAGTAAGAATAACAAACAACAAGAAAACAAAAGGAGAAAAAATAATTTAAGTGATTAAGGAGTATTACCTTTTATAGGTTATTTCTAATTGATTGGGTGATGAAACAGTTGCAGAACTTTGAATATCTAATTGATCACATCTATGATCTAATCGATTAATAGACGCTGATTTTGAATTTTGAAAAAAGTTATATTAGATTAACCCATATAATCTAATCGATTGGAATGTGAAAAAGCAACTCCTTTTTTACTTTTGGGCTTGATTTAGTTTTGGGTCATGGTTATTTTTCTGAGCACTTTTCTTTTTTTTACATAACTTAAACACAAAGTTAATGATGAAAAAGGTGAAAAGATTAATTAGTTAATTAGCACTTGTTTGAAAAGTATACGAAATTTTCCTTATTGTTTTTTTAACAAGTAACTTACATTTTCCTTACTATTATACAAGAATTTTGAAACTCTTTTTCTCTTTACTATTTTTTGTGAATTAATTTGTCTTCTCTTAACTGAAATTTCTCTGAATTTTTTAGTGTGAAGGACAAGTTCAATTTCTTTCTCTAGGACTTTCTTTTTGAGAATATTTCTTCATAAGTGAAGGCAAAGATTTAAAAAATCACTAAACTCTTTTGATAAATACTTTGAACAATTACCTTTCTTTGTTGTTGCAAAGCATAACTGCAAAATAACTCTAATTTTTAAATTTTGGTATCTTAATTTTTTAAAATCATTTTGTGTTAGTGGATTTAAAATATGAAAGTGTTAATGGATTTAAAATTATTCATATTATTTTTTGAGAATTCAGAAGAAGATATAGAAGTCCATTTAAGTCATGAATTTTATTAAAACAATTCGAAGCAACATGATCATTTCTATCACAAGAATTACATTTAAAAATATTTTATTGAAATATTTGGTGTTATAATCGAATTGATAATCTAGACTGACTTTATTCTAGACTTCTGTTTGATTAAATAACATCATGTCTAGATAATCTTTATCTTTAGTAAATTTACTAAAGATTTTGTGCAAATCTTCAATTTTAACTTTCAAGATTTCACAATTTTCACATTTAATATTAATGTTATAAGATGAAGTAGACTTAGCATTTAAAACAATATTGCTCAGTTAATAAATTTCTTTAATAAGTTTCTCATTTTCATTTTCCAAATAAATATGGTGTTTTAAGAAAATAATGATTTGCTTTAATCTATTGAGTTTTTTTTTATTGAGATCCTTACATATAGAATATAATTTGAGGAAGGAAAAAAAATACTTTTTTCTTTACTTCATCTTCGTAATTTATCATAAGAAATAAGTTTACATTGTTTTCTTGTTTTGATTCATTGGATATATTTGAACAGCTGCTTTTCTTTGTAGGAGCTTTTTTTTTCTTCTTTAAGTCATTTTGAACTTTATTTTTCTTTTTAGTGATTCTTCCTCTTAGATTTTCTTAATATCTTTTAACAAATGCAGTATCTACGATAACTTATCAAATATAGCAATCTTTATTTCGAGAGAGTGTATCCTCAAATTTAACGAGTCTTATGAACTGTGGATTGAAAATGGGGTAGAAGTCTTTTCACTTGAGAATTTAACTATTGAGTGTAGGCATATTTTTCCTAACATTTCTTTGCTAGACAATATAAAAAATACAAGGAGGAGGAATCCAAATTCAAATACAGTTTATCGGGTTAAAAATGCCTACTTCATAATCATAAATATTTTCAACTTTAAACATTTTTCAATTAATAAAGTTATATGGAGAATATTGGTTATCAACTTAGGAAACTATGCACTTAGGTTGAATTTTAATAAAGTCTTATCCATGTGTTAACAAATGTGGTTTTAATGAAAATGTGAATCAGTTATAGAATACAATTTTCATATAAAAAATTCAGAAATTTTTTTTAAAGTAAAAATACAATAATTTTGATTAAATATTTTATACATATCTCTTTTACAATTCGCCTCAGACCTCGTGTTGGTCCAATACTGACAACATTCATACATTTCAATCTAATGAAATATTTTTTTTAAAAATAAAGTCATGAAGATTGCTGATAATACCTTATAACTACTTTGAGGTAAACTTCAAATCGATCAAATAAGAATATACGGATAAAAAATAATATTATGAGTTTTGTTTTTTAATCCATGCAAATCACTTTTTGCATTAAGTGATATACGTATACATATGCATGGATATATACACTTCATCAGAATAGTTTGCACCAAATATGGTGAAATTTGGATGCTCAGAGACAACATTATAGGTAGGTAGTAAGAGATTAAGGAAAGAACAATCTTTCATATGATAAAATTCTTATTTTGGACATGAATTAAATTTAAAAATAGTTTTAATTTTGACATTTATTATTGAAATTCACAACCTCTAACTTATTTGAGTTTAACAATATTTAAAAATTAATATACCTTTATTTGATTTTTTATATCTACGATTGAGACTATCTTATAATCCTCTTTCATAACACATTTTGTATTTCAATTTTTTAGAATAAGACTAGTTAATGAGAAGACTCAATATATTTGTATTAGCAATAAATTTGACAAAAATAATATTAACAATGTGATTTTGCAAAATCTTAAAAAATTATTTTAAAAATAAATTTAAAAAATAAATAATGGGCTATTTAAAAGAAATAGATATAAAAAATAACCTCCGACTAAAAAGTTTAATAATTACAATTTTACACCATTTTCAAATCATATTTTATTATATAAATATTTTAAAAATATTAATAAATATAATAGAATTAACTTGTCCTCTAAAAAATGAAAACTTGAAAAGAAAGTATGGGATAAATAACATCAAATAAAAATATTAAAAGATATAAGAAGAAGCAAGATAATTAGTATATTTTAAGAAAATGCTAAAAAAACAATTAGTAATCTATCAGAGAATCAAAAAGGGTTAAGTTGAATTTGATAGATAAATTGATTTGGTTATCAGTTCGCGTGAATCTGTGATCCAAGCAAGCATCGCCGAATCGTAATTGTGGTACTCCCATTACGTGTTTGTTAAAATTTCTCAATCAATTCGATTATCATTTCATTTCTGTGTAGGTTTTCTACCTTTAATCCCTATTTCCCATTCACAATTCTTAGGTTTAATGCTTGTTTTTTCATCAATTCATCTTCTTCTTTTTTTCTAGATTTGCAAATACTTGTTTGTTTTCTTATTCATTTCTCTGTTTATTCTGAACCTGTTGCAGTTATAGCAATCGTCAAATTTTGTTATTGTTAATAAATGTTAGTGATTGCTGCTGCTTGGTTTTTCCAAGTATATCATCATATATGTGCTGGGAATTAAGTGGGAAGTACTCCATGGTAAACCCGAAAGGGTCTAATCAGTCTAAAATATGCTATAGGCCTATTCGACCTTCTGATCTTGACGTTTTAGAGCGTATCCATGGTAGATTGTTTCCCATCAGGTGAGATCATGGTGTTGTTGTTTTATTGGGTTCAAGTATATGAGCTTTTGAACTTGTGTTTGGTTAAAGATTTTTTATGAATCTCAGGTATGAATCTACTTTTTTTCAAGATGTGGTCAATGGACGGGATATTGTATCGTGGGGAGCAGTTGATCGAAGTCGACCGAATGGCCAAAGTGACGAACTCATTGGATTTGTAACGGCACGGATTGTTCTTGCAAAAGAAAGTGAGGTTGACCCCCTTTATATATAATAACTGTACGAATTTTTAATTATCACTTGAACCATCTATGAAAAAGTTGCCTGTTCATCGTTGTTCATTGTTGCCTGAAATTAGCACTGGAAACAGAGCATGTTCTGCTCCTACTACTCTGGAAAACCTTTTTTTTTTCATGTGAAAACTGGCTATTTTATGTTTTTATGATTTATGATTTACTTGCTTGCTATAAAGGGCTTTTTTATATAGGAAAATTTATTCTTGAATCTTAAGATTGGTGAAACATAGGGTTTGGGGTGGGGGTGATATTAGTAGATAGACATCAAGTGGTGACTAGAGGAAAATGTGTTGATTGATAATGCAATTAGGGGATACTAAATTACAGTGGATGCTTATTTGTTGGATTTTGTGACTGAGGTGTAGATGTGATACTTTGAATTGCATCACTAGTAGCATTGGAAAGGTATGCGTGAATTGTATATAGATGTCGATGGATTTCAATCAATGTGGAACTAAATCCACCCCTTCAAAGCCAACACAATGAAGGTGTTAGGGGCTGCAATGAAGGCAAGCCAAAGTGCCGCAATTAAGGCGACCAGGGGCGGACCGCAATTAAGGCGACCAGGGGCGGACCGCAATTAAGGCTGAAAGTCCAACATAGGGAATGCTCTATGTCGGAGTCACGACTTTGAGACAATTTTTCATTGTCTTGTGTGTGAATTTTGCGATGTAATAACATTAGTCACCAATTTATCCATTGGTGTTCTATCCTAGTCTTTAGATGCTAAACTTTATTTATTGTCTTACTCAATTTTTTTCCATGAATATTGTTCTTGTAGATAGTAGATTTGCTTGGATATGACTCGGCCAAATCTGATCAGACCTTAGTGTATGTTCTAACACTGGGAGTAGTGGAAGCATATAGGAGCCTTGGAATAGGTATTATTAGTCGTTTGTTTTGTACTTTAATTTTGTTGAAATCCTTTAGTAATATAATTGATAATCTAATACGTGCCTCATCACCAGCTTCTTCTCTGATTCGGGAGGTCGTAAAATATGCTTCAAGCATTCCCACATGCCGAGCAGTTTACTTGCACGTAATTTCTTTCAATATATCAGCAATCAATTTATACAAGAAAATGTCTTTCAAGTGTGTTAGAAGGCTGCAGGGATTTTATTTCATCAATGGCCAACACTATGATTCATTTTTATTCGTGCACTACGTAAATGGGGGACGGTCTCCTTGTTCGCCATTGTAAGTCCAATATTTTCGGACTGATCCTACATGTTTTGTTTAGATTTTAAAATGAATAGATTGTGATAGAATTTTAATTTCCATTTCACATTTCAGAGAGCTTCTCTCTGCAATAATAAGCTGTATGAAGAGTGGCTTTAAGGCAGTGGCTGCGAAGCTGTGCAAGAACGAAGTTAGGAAGATCTCAAGGTGGGAAAAGTGTAAAGAAAGTCATTCTCTTGTCTCACTTTCAACAATACCCAACAAAAGAAACATGGCTGTCGAGTGTACTGGTTGTGAGTTTGTGTAATTTTTTCTTGTTAGTTTTATGTTTCCTATAGTATTCAACCTCACTTATAATTCTCTCTAGAAAGGTGCCAAAATTATAGTACTTGTTCTGTCAGAATAAATGCAATCCTGAGATGAAACCAAAAATGTAGGCCATACACATGTATAATGTAAAAAGTGTTTTAACAAATTATTTTAGACCATGGGTTGGCTCCTATTCTTTTAAAAGATGAAGCACTGATAATTAAGCGTGTGAAATAAGAACTTGTGATTCTCTGTTGACTGTTCCCGTAATTGGCATATAGTGTTGGATTACCAGCCAACATGGTCTGGTCTAAAATTTTATTGATTGAGTTTCTTCTACTGGGTTTAATATTCGCATGCTTGCATTTATTCCTGGTAAGCCAAATTTGATTAATAATAAAGGTGATGGATGCATTCATCACAAGACCAGTTTGATTCGATCTGCTATTAGTGCAATGCTCAAACCAATCAAACAGGAATTTAGGATTAGTATTGATCCCACACTTCTCCTTTAGCTAACTCCAAAAAGAACTAGCAAAAAAACATTGAAAAAAAAGAAAGATGAATGACATCCTTTTCAGCTAAGTTGCATAAACAACAAATAAAAGCTAAGAACATCCCTCTCAACATGACTTGCGATTCAGTAGGGATTTTCCCATGACAAAGCCTTCATAATATCAAAGACTTGCTAGGAGGTATGTCGGTGCTCCACAAACAACCGACCCAATGAAAATCCAGGTTGCAGACATCTTTAAAGTAGTAGGCATCCTTAAGGGTGAGGGAACCCGACACAATATGATTCCACATTAACTGATTAGAAATGGTGCTTTGAGAGGAAGGGATAAGAGGCAATCTATTAAATAAAAAGGGAACCCAAATATTCCAAGAAATAGGGAAGTTCCACTGCCCATTGAAAATGAAATCAGAGACAAAAGTGTTAACTTTGATATCTTTGGACCTAAGAAAGTTCATAGAGGTATTATGGATCAAAGGTTGATCGCACCAGGAAGCTGTACAGAAGTTGATATCACTACTCAGGCCTATAGCCCAACGAAAGTTATTATTAAGCACTGAAATTTCAGACTTCATCCCTGTCCACAATAGAAGAGTAGGTGGGGTATCTAATGACACCATTTTTATTGAAAACTCTCTTCTTCATAAGGATTGCTCAATACTCCTGACTGGTTCTCAAATTCCAAAGCAGCCTGAGGTTTGTGGCCTCATTCAACCTAACCAAGGAACGAAGATCCAGACCACTTTTAGGGTAAGGTTGGCAAGTCTTCCTCTAAGAAACCATGAAAAGCTTTATACTGTGAATGTCTCTAGACCATATAAAGGTCTTGCAAGGTTGCTCAATTTTTCTCAGTAGCGCCATCGACCAAGAATACATGTTAATGTAGTAACTAGTCATACTGTGAATGATAGCTTTAACATGTGTGAGTCTACCTACCATAGAAAGCAAGGATCCCTATCAGAGATAGGAGTGAGGTGAGTTGCTTTGTCTCTCCCTTTGAAATAGGGATCCCGAGGTGTGTGAAGGGAAGAACTCCTTTAGTGAAATCAGTGCTAGTCAAAATTATGTCCAGCTGACTATCATTGATATAACTAGACTAAATAAAGGATTTGGCAAGGTTGAAGCCTTGACCCGAGGCTGTCGAGTAATCTTGAAAAACCTTATTGAGAGACTGGATATTGGATGACTTACCAATGCAAAATATCATGAGGTCGTCAACATAGAAGACATGAGAAGGAACAAAGTTGTTTCAGAATGACTTTATAAGATCATAGCCTCCTTACGACACTAACTTGGTAATGCTACGACTAAGCATGTCCTCGGTCGGGCAAAATAGAAGAAGAGACAACAGATCTCCCTGCCTAACCCCTTTCTTATAATTAAAATATCCATGATGCACACCATTGAAATTGATAGATAAGATGGCAGAAGAGAGCATGATGTTTATCCAGTTGTAAAATCACGGACTGAACCCAAAATTGTTGAGAACCTTGAGCAAAAACCCCCTAGCTAATTATATCAAAAGCCTTGGCAATGTCAACTTTTGTAGCTAAATCACCATGCTTATTCTTATTGTTCAACATGTTGATAGCTTCGGAAGCCAGACAAGTGTAGTTATGGATGTTTCTACCATGAATAAAACCTCTTTGATCCTTGGAAATTAGAAAAGGCATCAGAGAAGCTTACCTATCAGTCAAAATTTTAGATATAATCTTATATTTAAAGTTTGAGATAATAATAGGTTTGAACATATTGGGAGATTAAACATCCTTAATTTTGAAGTTGGGTAAAATTTAAACTATTTTGAAAAATTGGGTGACGACAATACAATCATTGACCTTGATAATGTCCTATAACATGTGGTAGAACACTCCACCAAATCTATCAGGATCTGGCGCACCAAACTTGTTGAGGCTTTTAACTGCACCATAGATATCCTCGTTTGAAGGCATCATGGTAAGAATCTTATTCATTTAAATATCCACTAAGCAAAGAATGGAATCCTCTGCCATGGAATTGTCTTGAGTAGTACCTGCAACAGAAAAGAGATTAGTGAAATAATTGACTACCAAGTTTGCCATTGCCTCTTGATCAATAATGAGAGATTCCTATTCTTTAAGATCTGTGATAAAGCTCCTAGACCTCTTAATTTTTGCCATTATATGGAAATAAATAGTTTTCCTATCCCCCGAAACATGCCACTATTATTTAGATTTCTATACCAAAAAAATCTCTTCCACACACTAATTCTTTTCCAACTCCATAAGAGCCTCTTTCTCCATAGTTTTGAGAGAGTCTGAAGAACCAACAAAATGGAGACCATCACCTTGTCATGAATGTTACAAAACGTGTCTTTATTCCAATGTTTAAGGCAGGATTTGAGATTTTGAAGTTGTTTGCTTAAGACATACATCGTGCAACCAACAACATTATAATTCCAAGTGCTAGCAATAAACTCTCTACAATTATCATGAAGCTACCACATCTCCAAGAATCTAAACTGGGAAGCTAACTTGATTTGAGAGAAGCATGATTCAAACAAAATGGGGTGACAATCAGATCTTATTCTAGGAAAAGTGGTGGAAACCACATATTCACAAGCATTAGACCAAGTGTTATTGCAAAGAGCTCTATCTGATTCTCTCTCAACAGAGGCGACACCCGATCTACCATTATACCAGGTAAGACTAAGACCTTTTGTAGGGATATCCAATAAGCTATTGTTATCATTCCATGTCTTGAACTCTTCCATATGTAAGCACCAATGGTTGCTACTTCCTCTGTGCTCATGAACGCCGATAATAGAGTTGTAATCACCCACTAAACAAAAGGGAACATTATTGTTAGCTATAACACTAGAAAAGTCTCTCAAAAGTAGGGATGACAATTGTACCCATCCCTAATAGGTACCCGTGAAATTTACCCACAACAAGAATAGCGTAAAAACCGCAAAATAGATACGACATGGGCACGAGCAATTACTCACTAAAATAAACGGGTATGAGTATGGGTACGGGTATCTTAGTATCGTCCCACACACGCACGATATATATTTATATTTTTTTATTTTCATTATTATGTACATATGATAATCTAACAATTTATTGAATTCATCGCTATTAAATTTCTACGCATTTTAGTATAAATTTTTGTTTATTTCTTAACTTAATAATAACATCCTTAAAATTTTTAAATGTTGTTAAAAATTAAAATGACATGATAAATTATAATTGATCAGTCATCTTTTATTATAAATGCGGATAAACGGGTATGAGTACTTAGACACTCATAAGGTACAGGTATGAGTACAAACGTTAGTGCCCGCACATACCAAATTCTCTTCTTGTTCCTTACTCTTCACTCAAGTGAATCAACCAACCTTGGTTGCAAGGTGATTGTCTCTATACAATAACGATAAAAGGAGAGAGAAATTGAATTGGGGAAAAAGAAGAGGTTTAGGGTTTTCACAAAATAGGGGAGAAGAAGAATTTTTGTAGAGTAACTCTCTGCTCTAAAAACTGCAATTTTATTCAAGTGAATCACTTTACAATAATAGGGTTACTCCCCATTTATAGATTTAACTTGTTTGCTCCATAAGTAAAGCCCAAAAACAAAAAGCTCAAAATATCTAATTCTGCCAACACTACAAAATTAGGTTTAAGACAAAATCCATGTCGAGGCTAACTCCTCGACACTCTAACAAGTAGGTGTATCGACACACACACACACACTAGGCTATTCGATCACTTCCATGTCCCTGTCAAGCAACATGCTTCGATACAAGGAATTACAATTTAACACACTACCTAATTCATTGTGTCTAAGTTACCTACATTCATCACATATCTTAATTTCTTGAACACTTCGACCTGCACTTCTTTCGTCATGATATCTGCAATATGATCCTCAGTTATGGAGTGTTCCAAGCTCATTTTACCATCTGCTACATGCTTTCGAAAATAATGGAACCTAATTTCAATGTGCTACATGCTTTCGAAAATAATGGAACCTAATTTCAACGTGCTTGCTACGTCCATGTGTTATCGAATTCTTCGCCAGATTGATAGCAGACATGTTGTCAATCTTCATGGTAATTGCTCCATAACTCTTCCCTATAATTTCCTTGACCAAATTCACCACCCACGCTGCTTGACATGCACAAAGAGAAGCAACTATGTATTATGCTTCACACGATGATAGTGCCATCACTGGTTCCTTTTTTTAACTTCAAGCAACTGGTGCACCACCTAACATAAACACATAGCCACTTGTGGATTTTCTATCCTCAGCATCACTGCACCAACTCGAGTCGGTGTATCCCACTAACTTGCATTCTTTTCCTTCGTCAGTTGTAAGAAACAGAATTCTATAGTTGAGAGTTCCTTTCATATACCTTAGTATCCTCTTTGTCGTTGCTAGGTGTGATGTCTTTGGATTCTGCATGAATCTACTAACCATACCTACATTGTACGCTAGATCAGACA